TATGTGAGCTTATTTCGTTGTCAATCGCCCATTGTTGAATGTCAATTGTTGGGTCATCGGTAGCCATTGTTCTCTGGGCTGTAGGTGTGAAAGCTAGTTTGCTTGAAAAGGCACCTGGAAACGTGCTTGGATCGGAGTTCATTGTCTCTGTGCAATAAGGATTGTTACCTGTAAACTGGTATACTTTAGTGTGTCCTTTTTCTCAGTATCTTGTTTGGCCGATCTATCAGGATCTTGGTGTAACAGGCGAAGAACACTTTCAGTTGTCGCAGCTTGCAGAAAAATCCAACAGCCTAGCCAGGCGTGGATGTGTTTCAGTCAAAATCGAGCGTACGGACGTAGCTGTGCACTATAGAATGTAAGTGGTAGGTATACCAAAAACAAAACGTACGGTTGTTCAACAGGATCGGATGATAAGGACATCAGGATGACAAAGATATGGTGTTCCTGGCAGCAAATTGTAGCGCAAAAAAAAAAAAAAAAAAAAAAAACCGGCAGCAGCAGCAGGTGAGGTAAATTGGCAGCAAAGGCAGGCAATGCAGGAACACTGAATTAAGAGTGTTAAAACCCATGCTTAAATAACGGCGTGAAGCGCCACCTCCGTTAATCCATAGGCAGTCGCCGAATGATTGGTCACCCCCCTCAAATATGCAAAAGTGACCTTTAAGTTAACTAGCCCTATACATGGTAGTTTATAAAAAAAAAGGCAAATGAGACCTAAGTAAGAACAGGTAAATATAAATATGCAAATGAGACCTTTGGGTTGAGGAGTCACTCTCAAGCTTCCCTCCTGATTTAAAACCAGTTAACAATTAACTTTGCCGAAAATACATTGAATACAAATACAAAAGCTTCACATTGTGGTTAAATGCTTTACAGGCTGATTTGTCGCAGGTGATGTTTTACTAATTATATTATTACACGTGGTATCATACACTGTCAGCTGCCCATATACCACATACTAGTACTTGCTAAAAGCGACGCGGATATTGTTTTAGAAACCACGCTTGTTTATAGTAATATGAATCTACACTTGATATTTTTAATCTGACAACACCCATGAAGGGTGTCCGTACGAGCGATATGACAATTAAATTATAGACATGATGATTTGTTTTATTACAATACTATCCATTTTCATGCTTGGCACCCATGGAATTTATGTAAATATCATTTATCCAGAGGGAATGGGCAACTAGAATATGAAGCATTGATAGCGGACTGAAAAAAATGACATTCGTATGTAAACCTATATCTGGTTTTTAGTTATTTGTTTGTATTTTATTTTATTCACATTTCAATCTATTTTGTAGAGGTAGATATCTCAGCCACCGATAGAATTCATTTTATTTTACTCCACAGAAAAATGAATGCTGTACAGATTGACCAATTCGGCGATGAAAGTGTCATGAAATTTAGAACTGGTGTTGAAAAACCCAAAATTGTTAAGGAAATTCAGGTTAGTCACGTGGTGTGGAAACATGTACCGTTATACGTATTCGGATATAACTTGTATTAATAAAGTTCGATTGTTCTTGTACAGGTCCTTATTAGAGTAAAGTCCGCCGGGGTCAATCCCCATGAGGCTTCTATCCGATGTGGAGATTACGGTCCGAGAACTTTTCCTTACACTCTTGGTATGGACTTCGCCGGTATTGTTGAAGACGTGGGCAGTGCAGTGAAGGACTTTGAGGTAATTTAATGTACACAACAACTTAAAACTGCCGTGGTCTTGATGAATCAAAATATATTGTCTATTATTTTATAACAGCCTGTATATTAGGGAATGAATTTGAATATTGTGAATTGCAGATCGGTGACCGCGTTTACTCAACTCTATCTGGATGTGGTGCATATGCAGATTACCAAGTGAACGAGGATCACAATGTGTTCCACCTCCCATCACAGCTGACTTTCCAAGAAGGTGCCGGTATTGGTTGTGTATATTTCACTGCCTTTAGATCTTTGTTCCACATGTGAGTACAATCCAACACCATCTCAGCTCCATTCTATCCCACAGTTTTAGCCCAAGTTTCACTAATGTGATCTGTATATAAAGATCATTAGTCTTCGCGGTGTCATTTGTTCTTTTCTGTTTTACTGATTAGTTCAGTGATAGACGATTATCTCTCATGCGCTATTCGTTCGTTCCATACAGTTCCTTGTATTTGTCAGAACTCGATTTGACATGTAATTACTGTATTCCAGCGCCAACTGCAAAGCTGGGGAAACCGTTTTCGTTCATGGAGCAAGTGGTGGTGTATGTATTTTTTTTCTTTTCAAACAATAATAGTTATTTATTCATTTTGGTCTAATTTTATATTGTGATATTAACTCTCTAAATTCAATACTTGCTTGTTCACCTTTGACCTTCTTAAAAATCGCTTCTCACATGATGTGAATCACTACTTAGATCCCCTTCCACATAACAATTTGTACATTCCACAAGTGCATTTAACTCAAAGTAAACATAATATCAAATACGCAGTTACAAAGCACTGGAATCACATTAAAAATATTACACATAGACACATGTTTAAAAGTACATTAAAATCCCTCCTACTAAATGAGTAACTTTCATTCATTCATTCATTCATTCATTCATTCATTCATGAACTTATTTATTTATTTGTTCAGTTACTCAGTTATTTATTTATCTATTCATTCAGTTATTTACTAATTGATCAAATAATTGATAAAATATCAACAGTTTGTTATTTTACTTTACATTATTTCACTTATTTAATTATATTTCTCAGTCATGCAGACACTATTCACTACGTTCAATTACCCACCATAGACTCCGGTCAGTTAAAATGACTATTTTGAACTGTAGGCATTAATCAGCGATTCTGCCGGTGACGGAGAGATAGAATCCAGGTCAGGGGAAGCCCCATGACCTCAAGATTCTTTTACACCTTACGTCACGAACCCACGTGACCGAGGCCACCTGGCAGCGCCACAGGTAGCCGTCCTTCACTCTTAATTTCTCTCCGCCTCGAGTGGAGATGAAATCTAGCGAGCTCTGCTGGATCGCCTGCTTTTTTTCCTGTCCGGATTTATAGCTTGGGTTGTTGCCGCTGCTCGGCATCCGACATGGTAGCCGGTAGGATAGGTTTTCCTTGTCTTTTTTTACCCTCGTGTCGTTTTCCCCTTTGTGTGTAGTATTTTTCACAGCAAAGTAATCAAAATCCGGCGCCACTACGTAGTCACATGTTGATTTCATGGCGGCACCTTTTACAACTGTAATTCGTCTCCCTCATGCATGTCATCTTTTATTTTTAATGTATTTAGCAATATATATCGATGTAATGACAGCTCCAAGGCTCGCTGCCTTTTTCTTCCGGTCTCCTCGTCTTTCGAGCCGACCGTACAGTGGTTTATTCAGAATCTACCAGCATAGAACCCGCATCCGAGATG